CAACTCACCACAGACTCGCGCCAACATTTTATAATCATCGACCACACTATGACGGATGTATCACATTACAAGTGTATACATTAGCACGAGTCTCAAACTGTTCTATACAACATTACTGACACCACCCGTTACTATCAACTCCATCGTATAACACACGTCAGTATCACAGTTATTACTCGTACTAATATATTAAACTGTTAATGTACTCGTTCGTGACAAGTTCATTGTAAAACTTTACTATATATTAATTATATAAACGTGCTCTAGCCTTGAGACGGTCGGGTCATGTCTCACTGTACTGGGATCGATTAGAAATAAAATTGTACGACTTTAAAATGACTTAAAACGTAGGTATTAACTTATGAGTTATGTACAAGACTGAATTATTGCCAACATCTTGCAATGGTGTGAAAATAATATAAAGGGAACTTCAGCAGACTGTATAGGAAATTACGTATTCATTTCGGTACTTGCATCGAATACCATCAATATTTTATGAGTTTTAAATTTCAATATTCTTACATTTTATAATAATTACTAGCTTTTGCCGCGACTACGTCCGCGTGGAATAGTGACTTCCGGCAGATTTTTGGTTCTTCCCAAATACATAGTTCCCGTTCCTGCGGGGTTTTCGGAATGGTCGAGTTCCCGGAGAATGTTCAGGATAAAACCTCTGTTTTTTTTATTCACAATGAAGTACTCTTAACCAACAACATATTTATTTGTTTATTTGAATAAAGATTAATATTATTATCTTAATACAACTTAAACAAATTATTTCGACCAAATTAGGTACCATAAAAACGGTTTTTGTGAGTTAATCTTAAAAGATAGACATATACTGTCACGGACTGTTTTTTAGATCATTAAAAGAGCTATTATTCTTTAATACATTTTTTTGTGTATCTTGAACCGTTTTCACGGCGCACGCAACGGAAGGCTTCAAAGATGAAATAATTTCTCCCGTTTTTTATACATTTACCACTATATCTTTGCTCCTATTGGTCGTAGCGTGATGTTATACAGCCTACAGCCTTCCTCGATAACTGGACTATCTAACACAAAAAGAATTATTCAATTCGAACCAGTAGTTTCGGAGATTAGCGCTTTCAAACAAACAAACAAACAAACAAACAAACTCTTCAGCTTTATAATATTAGTATAGATAACCATGACAGTCTCCGCATCGTTATAGTAAACTGTAAAGTATTAGGTTTTGCTTATAAATAAATGTTTCATTCATTGAAATGATTTTCAACATATTTGAATAGACATACTTTTCTTCTTCTTCTTCTACCTGGCTAATTTCCTAGCTATAGCCAGGGTCTGCCTTACATGTTGTGAATAGTTTTTTTTTTGGCTATTTGTTTTTACGACCGGCCCGCCTGCCTGACATCAACCCTCTTTTGGGAATCAACATTAATCAGTGTTGTCTAAATACTCTTAGAAAGTACATATGATTCGGAAAAATCACATTGGTACTTGCCCGGGCCAGGATCGAACCCGCGCCCTCGGCGACGAGAGGCGGACCCTTTAACCACTGAGCCACCACTGACTAATAGACATACTTTTCATTTAAATTTAACTTGCAAGTGCCTAATCTATCTTAGATAGTAAGGGTTTACTATACATACACATATGTGTTACTAAATACGTTTTTATAGCCAAAATTATTGTATTCTGATTAACATATATGTACATAATAACTAATGATTGGATCGTAGCCTCTTTTATTGTAAAAAACTAATTATTTAATAAGCTGTAACTTGTAATTATATACCAATTTGAGTATCGTTTTATTGTTTTTCAGATAAATATAGTTAATGCCATATGAATTTGAACACTAGAATGTGTCTTATATAAAATTCATTTCGTAGATATGAATTATCTTATTAGACCATATCAATTAAAAATTCTATCCAAACAAAATAATTTTCTATAATAAATTGATGAGATCTAAGACTTTTGCGAGAATTCCTTTAGATGAAGCTTATATTTTCGGTTTTATTACAAGTTTTTTGTTATTTTAACTACATACTCACGACGTTTGGATTACTTTTTAGTAACCGTGATCACGGGCAGACGAGATGAAAAAAAGGTTTATTATAAACTAAAGTAAAATTCATGATATCATATGAATTAGAGCATTTGTATTATATCATCATTATCATCAGCCTACCAGAGCCAATTGCTGAGCAAAGGCCTACTCTCACATAGAAAAAATATGAGCATTAATCATTATGCTTGCTCAGAACGGTTGGCGATTTCAAACTCGCAATTTGAAATTATAAGTCCAGTTTTCCTCCCGATGTTTTCCTTCACCGTCTTTCAGTGATATCTAAATACTATTAGAAAGTACATATGACTTGGGAAAATCATATTGGTTCTTACCAGTTTTCAAACCTGCGCAATCATGTACAAGAGGCGGGCCTTTAACCACTAGGCCACTACGACTCCTTTTATAATAATAATAATAATAAATAATTTTTATTCACAAAAAAAGTTACAAAGTATAATGAAGTTCCTAATTTCTGAGCTAGGCCAAAAAGACCTGTATTACAGAAATCAGCAAACATACATACATATATACATATTATTCTTTAACGATATTTTCTGTTCGCTTCTACATGCTACAAAATTATTGCAAAAATTTCTTATCATTTAAGTGACTCACTTACTTTTATGATAAACGTCATCTAGATTTCTAAAGCCTTTTTCCTTGTGATTGATGTCAAGTCTCAAACGAAATCATATTTTTATGACAAACGTGAGATCAAGATTATTACTATTATCAAACTTTTATATATTTGAGAGGAACTATTCTGCTCTAAGAATGTAATTAAGAACCCAGTGCTCTAAATCATTTTTCGTATGGCTTTATCTTTACGTAATCTTCATTAAATTTGTCAAGATTATTGACCTTAAATTCTGAATTTAATTTAATTTCTATTTATCACCTATTTAATTATTTCATTTTATTCCTTGTCATTGAATTTTAATATTGTATAGCGGGCTAACTTATGACTTAGTTGTCTGAAAAGGCTTTAAGTGACAGATTAAAGAGAAATCAATACCTTTTACTCCGCCTATACGATATAAAGCTTCTAAGTTAATAACTAAGTTAAGCCATCACGGATACCAGTTCCAGCGAGATTGTGTTATCCTTTAATGTAAGCTTTTTGTAACTGTATGAGAGGGAATCTAATTTTCTCAATGCCATATATATCTTCTTCTTCCTAGCAATTTCCCGGCTATAGCCAGGGTCTGTCTTACATGTTGTGAATAGTTTTGGCTAATTGTTTTTACGACCGGCCGCCTGCCTGACATCAACCCTCTTTGAGAATGCATTAATCACTAACGTAACTTAATACTCTTAGAATGTACATATGACTCGGCAAAATTACATTGGTACTTGCCAGGATCGAATCCGCGCCCTCGTGTATAAAAGGCGGGCCTTTTAACCACTAGGCTTTTACTTCCGCGTATAAGATTTGAATGTAAATACGAATTAACAATTTAACTAAAGAATATATATTTTTTAACCCATGTATTACTAATTGAATGCAGAATATATAGCGTTTCTTATTACAGGTTGAAAAACTTAAACCAGACTTTAATAAGTTATTTAATTAATTTCTATTTATTTTAATATTTTTAACTAGTTCATATGTTTAAATTTATTTCTATATGTAACCATTAATAACATGTATATTATTGTTTACAAAGTTTATAAACCCAGTTCTAAAACTCTAGGGAGATTCGCTGAAACATAAAATTTATCTAAAGGATATATATTTTCAAAGACATAACTACGCAATTAACATCATGGTTAATACATTATTATAAACTATACATATAGAAACACGCGGAATTCCATGCGTCATGAAATACGATCTTTTAAATAGTACAGCACACAGATCTTTTCCAGCAACGTAATGAATTAATTATGTATAAAGGTATAATTATAGAAAAATACTTGTACCCTGTTTTTCCTTTAGACCAAATTATTATAATTCAAAATTTTATAACCTGGTTGAATAAAATAATTTAAATAATTACATGTTTCATTGATTAGGTTGTACCTATAGGTAAAAAAATTACGAAGTCACAGTTGGAATAATAAAATAAATGCTAGATCAATTTTATATATATATATATATATATATATATATATATATATATATATATATATATATATATAAAGATATATGAACCTAAACAATTCAGAGACATTTTAATTTTTTTTGAATTTAAATAAGTTGTGTATAAAAAAGTCGTTGCAAAAAAAATATGGTTGGAATTAAAATATATTCTCAGAGGAAATAAAAACGAGAACTGTACGCTTACTCCCAGTTTAGGTCACACGACATACTGAGCGTTAAAAGTATTAATATACGCACATTATACAGGGTGACTGGTGAATTACTATCAATATTTAAGGAGAATACTCGGTACATGATTCTCATTCGAATTATGTAAAAAAATAGGTATTAATTTTTGACCAAATTTCCGTATAAATAAATAAAGTGTTGACACGTTCCAAGTGTTCCAAGTGTGGACGCGTGCGGCGGCGTCCTGATACAACACTACGCCGCCACGCGCGTGTCTGTGTGTGTGTGTATACCTAATCTGTAGGGTGTTCACACGATGCGTAATTAATTACATAACTTTTGGTTAACTTTACTCAGAAGTTTATTAATATTTATGTTATATTAATTTTTATTTTGTCATATATGATCGTCAAATATCACGTCCTCAAGTATCGATAGTAATTCACCAGTCATCCTGTATAGTATTAACACGATTATTTAATGAGAACCGGTATACGTTTCGTATGTAGTGTAATTCAAACTTGTGGTAATATCTAGAATAAATTTAACTTCTATTAACTGTTATTTCATTTTTCAGATTTCCCTCGAAGATTCCAACCAATGATGTTAAGTTCATGTTAGTTTAAAGTGAAGTATATTGTACTTTAAGTGTAGTGAATAAGTGTCAAAATGGGTTGCAACACAAGTTCTGAGGCTAAGGTTGAAGAGAAGAATTCAGAAGAGAACAAGACTAACACAGATACGGGTGAGTTATTTAGTTATTTTGTATATAAATGTTTTTTATGAGAAAGGTGGCAATCGCGGACGGCCTACTTGATGGGCAGTAGTCACTATCGCCTATAGACATGCGATGCCAACCTTTTTTATGAGGAATAGGGAGGGATGGGAATAAGGGAATGAAAAGAAAAAGTGGGAATAGGGAAAGGGCAAGCGGCTCTCTCACTCATCGAACTAAACGCAGCTATTAAAGGCTACTTCACGCCGATCTTCTGTGAGAGGGTGGTACTTCCCCGGTCGAGCCAGCACATGTTCGAGCTGTTGTAATAAGACTACAGTTAGGCTCTACCACCTAAAAATTATGTCCGTCTTTCATAGTTCCATGATTTTTACTCAGAAACTTTATTAACTCTGAAATATATATAGTGTACGTAACATGTGATTATAAGTATTCCATCCTTGTCTATAATGTAAATGTATATATAAATCTATATTATATGTAAGTAATATACATACGAGTAGATACATGTAAATTGTACGTGCTTCGTTAGGTGAATGCTAATTTTGTTACCACAATTTTAAATTCAGTAAAACCTAGTTCACAAAACAAAATTCAGAAATATATAGGTATTCAAATATATACTAATATTTTTTGTTGATATCTCAATTATTGTCAATAATAATTAATTCTTCTTTTATCTTATTACATCTAAAAAGAGTATTTATTTATTACTGTATATGAATAAGGTTAACTTATAGCTTTTAAGCGTCTGAGAAAACAAACATATATTGTAAACCATTAATTTAAATTTAGTTACTTAATTAGTTTTAAAAACATAAGTAAATTATATCCACTTCAATATTAATCTTTTTCATTCAAAAACTTCGAAAACACTTAAAAAGGGATTATTATTAAAACAATAAACAAAAGTTTTACTTTCCTCATTAAAAGATTCGAGCTACTCAAACAAAAATTCTAAATCCTATTACTAAAAACATTTTGTATTCCAAAAACAGTTGATATATTATTTTTCTTCAGATTATAAGAAATAATAAAATATATTATGTACATAATATATAACAATATTATATACAAAATCAAAATTGTTTAGTACATTCATTCAATCTATTGAAGATTAATTCCTTGTTAAATTTAATCGAATAATAATTCGTTCCTTCAATTATTCATTCGTACTTTAATTCCCCTCAGGGTAGATTAAACTGAAGATAAATTGCTTTTTCCCAATCACTCTTGTTTCGTCTCTTCAATGACGTTGACAGTTGGGCTTGATAGGAAAATGTCATTCGTAGGTACGGTTTTTCGACTTGTAAATTTTACGGAGTTGTGGATAGTTTTCTTTTCAGTTTTTTGTCTTTTTTGTGTATAAATATGTATTTTTTCTTTTTAATTATGATGCAAAAATTGTGGTTTACAAAGTTGGCTTCGATATCTGTGTATGTTTGTATATTTGTGCCATCTTAACTCTCAAACATAGATCATTTTCAATGCTTCTTTTTTTAATGCTAGTTTCCACATGAATGTTTTAAGGTATGTTTGGATAATGAGATCTAAGATTTTCGCGAGTACTCATTTAAATGAAACTAATATTGTCGGATTTACTACGCGATTTTTTTATTTTTGACTAGTTTTTGCCCGCGACTTCGTCCGCGTTATTTTATTTATATACTCTTTATTGTACACCAATATAGACAAATAATAGGAGTAACATAACGAAAAGAAAATGTACAATAGGCGGCCTTATCGCTAAAACAGCGTTAGTTTGGTCAAGAGTAATATATGTAGGTATAGCTGACCGGGCGAACTCTATTCCTTCTTGGAGACCATAAATAATCAGGTTTTTCCTGTTTCAATCAAACAGAATGATTGACATATTAGTTAGTTGTCAAATCTAATGTCAAAAAAAACATTTGTATGGGAAATAGAAAAGGGCTGTTTTTAGGGTTTTCCCGGCAATTATTCCAATTTTTCTCACCTTTTAAACCTTCCCTGGACTTTCAGAAGTATTTCAAGACAAAAACTAGCCAAATCGGTTCAGCCGTTCTCGAGTTTTAGCGAGACTAAGGAACGGCAATCCATTTTTATATATATATATACATATATAGAAGACTATAAACTTCATACTCCCGACGTTTCAGTTACTTTACAGTAACCGTGATCACGGGCAGACGATATGTGAGTGTGTTTGGATAATATAAGTCCAAAAGTGAAAGAATATCAGCGTCATTGTGAAATCTAAGGCATTTTCAGCCTGTGATTACTCGATTAAGCGGGTCATTCATGCCAGTATAATCGTTAAATGATTGTTTTACACATTTTAAAAGAACTTGCTATTTAATATGAATTTGGTCACTGTAAAGCTATAGAAAGGTGACTATGAAATAGAATTTTATTGAATATACAGGGTGACTGGTGAATTACTATCAATATTTAAGGAGAATACTCGGTACATGATTCTCATTCGAATTATGTAAAAAAAATAGGTACTTAATTTTTGACCAAATTTCTGTATAAATAAATAAAGCGTGGACACGTTCCAAGTGTTCCAAGTGTGGACGTGTGCGGCGGTGTGCTGATACAACACTACGCCGCCACACGTGTGTGTGTGCGTGTGTGTATACCTAATCTGTAGGGTGTTCACACGATGCGTAATTAATTACATAACTTTTGGTTAACTTTACTTAGAAGTTTATTAATATTTATGTTATATTAATTTTTATTTTGTCATATATGATCGTCAAATATCACGTCCTCAAGTATCGATAGTAATTCACCAGTCACCCTGTATATGTACATAGACTTAGTTTGAACATAAACATAGCTGTTCCGCGCGACTCCGTCTGCGTAAAAAAACCCTGCCTCGTTAGCACGTGGTAACGCATAATTTTGAGTTCAGCATTCGTTATTAAGATAAAAAGTAGCCTAAGTTACTCCTTATTACATCAGCTATATGCTAATAATAGACTCGTCGGAACCGGTTTAGCTTTTTCAGACATTAGCTGTAACAAATAGACAGACAGACAGACAAATATTGAAAAAAAAAATGTTTTTGTGTATGTACCGTGTACATATTCATATGCATTTAGTAACGAATAGTTATTTCAATATTACAAATCGACACTTAAATTTTATTTGTATGTATAGATTGAGTCTTTATTTAATTTTTATATTTTTGCATAATTTGACATTAATTAATAAATTTGGTAGGGACGGGACTCTTGAGATTATAAAAAGTATTTGATATAGCCTCAAGCAACTTCATTTCAATATTAAATTTCAATAATAGTATCTTATTAGGCTTTTTTTTTGTTTTACTTTTTGATTTTTAAGATAAAATGATAATACACATTTAATTTGTATTTTTTTATAACTAACTTTATTTTTAAGTCTAACATTGAATATAATAAATTTTTTATTTTATTTTATACTATTGTTGAGGAATATTGACGTGAATGATTTTCAAAACAATTGTTTTGTTGTTATATTTTGAGTTACAATAAGCACTTAGAACTTAAATAAAAACACACACACATATACGCACACGTACACACACCCACACACACATACATCTTCTTCTTCTACCTGGCAATTTCCCGGCTTTAGCCAGGGTTTGCCTTACATGTTGTGAATAGTTTTGGCTAATTGTTTTTACGACCGGCCGCCTGCCTTACATCAATCCTCTTTGGGAATGCATTAATCAGTGATGTCTAAATACTCTTAGAAAGTACATATGACTCGGAAAAATCACATTGGTACTTGCCAGGATCGAAACCGCGCCCTCGTGCATGAGAGGCGGGCCTTTTACCACTAGGCCACCACTGACTTTACCACCACACACAGTATATATGAAAAATATTCTTAAGTAAATACTTTATACTTAAAGTTTCTAGACGAACAATAAGTCAGTATAATAATTTGTAAAAGAAATATTTAGAAGGATAAAGAAAAAGTAACTTAATAACAGAGGCATGTAGGTCGTTTATTGAATGATTCAAGAATCAATATCTGCTAATATGAATAGTTTTGTAAATATCACGAGATTCGAGTTTTTTTTATTTTACTTTTGTAATTCAGGCTAATGTAATCTTTTGCTTATTTGGATGATTTTAAACATCTACAGAAAAGTCTGATTACATCTAACGGCATAAATTGAGTTTATTTTGTGCGTCATAGAATTGCAATAGTCATTTGAAAGTGATATATATTTTTTAAATTATCTAATTAACGTTTATGTTCATATTATGTATCTTTGTTTTATCCACTCATTAATTCAAAAGTTCAAGAAAATTACCCAAAACCATTGTTTCTATCAGTGGCGTAACTATACCGTTCGAGGCCCGTGGCAAATTCATCGGATGGGCCCCTCCCCCCAATACAAAAAAAATGAACCAACAATAATAATATTTTTTTATTTTATAATACTTATTTATACACTTTTACTTGCAAGAGTACAATAATAAATCACTACGTTAAGTAGGTACATACAAACTTTATAATTATACTTTGGTACTTGATTTTCTAATAATTCACTTTAAAATTAATATACCTAATTATAACCCTGGGTGTTTCAAAAGTAACGTGAATAGGCATCTTCTGGGTAAGCTCGCTCCATCGTAGGCCACATCATACCTTAGACATGATTGTGGTCAAGAGCAAGCCCATTTCAAATAATAAAAAAAAAGTACAGTCAGCATCTTATTGATATAGACACATAGAGTAGTTAAAATGATTTGAACAACAAAAAAAGCAATTTGATATACGCAGTCCGAATAATCATATTGTTAAAAGCACACAAGTTGTTCAAAATATAAAATGTTAATTATTAAAATTCCTTCCTTCGGACTTTCTGTTCAGCAAAGGTGGTAATGATATCATCAAAGTTCAAATTTCGGGCCATAGAATTTTCGATGGATAGAATAGCTAAGTTGCTTAACCTGTCTTGTCCCATAGAATTTCTTAAATAAGTTTTTATCAATATCAGTTTTGAAAACGATCGCTCGGCACTAGCC